TTAGGATCTGGTTGCTCGACCCAATCATCAGAAACTTATTGACTGTACATGGGTATAAAAAATCAACACTTCTTATTTAAAAAAAAAATCATACCAAAATATATATAGTTTACAACCCACCACCACGGACCCTCACTTAAATTGCGGATGCTCAAATAAAGAATCAAATCTAAGACCGTGCGCATATCCACACTATCCTCAATTCATTCTAATCATCTAGACTACCCACAGATAGGTCATATCAAAATATTGAAGTTAGAAAAAAAAAAAAAAAAAAAAGATATATATCAAAATCTGTATTTTGATGCTTTATTTTAAGGATTTGAAACATAAAAGTTAAATTACAACAAAAGTTATAATATTTTACTATAAAAGCTAGATAAGTCTTTGAATATTTTATTAATAGAAATTTTATTGTAGTTTAATTTGGAGTTGTTATTTGTGTTGGCTTAATAACTTGTTCATTAGTAAAATTTCTTGGTTTTGTTTTACACTCATTAAAGTATTATAAATTTATTTCATATCGTCAAACACAATCATACATATATTAATTATAAAGAGTATTATAAATAAATACTCATATTTATGTATAACTTATACCCAATATATTATTTATTATAAGTTTATTTACAATTGAATTGTTGAGTTTAATTAACATCTTGATCCTCCTAGAATGAGTTCATGGCTACGCCCCTGTTTGTGTATACTTCAACTAATCCCCCGAGATCTTGAAGTTAACAGTCAAGTAATCCTTCAGTGACCGCCCCTATTAGCAATTGAGGGGAATCGAGTCAAGACCTTTCGAGTAACACCTAAGAGTCCCAATTAACCTTCTGACCACGCAAGGGTTGGTTATATCTATGTGACTTTGTTGATCTACAATATAAATGTGTCACGTTTTTCGGGGATAGCTCAGTTTTGGTAATATGAACTAGTTATGGTTTTCTTAAAATATATGTCTTTGGAGTTGGGAAATTCTAGGAATTTATATGGTTTATATTGTCAAAATTATATTTTCATTCTTCAATTGTATGGTTGCAGAGTTGGATTCTGCTTGACATCAAAATCAAATGGACTACTACTCCCATATCATTTGTTACAATGTTAGGAGGCATTTGTCTACATAAGACACTGGAGAAACAGAAGACGATATAGTTTTTATTATATTCTTTTTTTTTTTACTAATCAATCAATCAAATACAAAAGTTTCGATTAAGAGAGGCCGAGGACTTCAGTCTTTACTCTTCAATATTATTTAAGATTCAAGTTTAAAGGATTATATATGATGGCTCACCTCCACTGTAAGCTAATAATATATGTTGACGCTTGATTTTGGACGTCAACGACTCGCACGTGGGAAACGCTTAGCTGACTCAGGAGACACACGTGATGGATCCATGAGATTTGAATATAGAGCTGAGATTATATATGTTACAGAAAACATAAATAAAAGATTGGCAAGAGGGGTTTTTATAGTGGTTCGGATGCAACAAGCAACTCCTACATCTACTGTTATTTTATTGATCTCTCACTATTTCTATGAATTTGCCCGTAAGGCATACAAAAATGAAGAAAAACAGTGTTTTTACAGAGAGAAAGAATTGAAGCTAAATCTCAGCCCAGCCCCCTTCTTCGGGAAGAGGAGTGCCCATTTATACACCTAAACACTCAATGTAATGAGTGTTTTGCAAGTTGCCTTGACACATGGAAGGCTCTCGTCTATTCATCTCTTTGAAATGAGATAAAGTTGGTGAGAATATCTTTGGAGATATGGGCTTGGCAGCTGGTACAAAGAGACATTAATTGTGCTGACATAGGCGTGACTTTTGAGGCATAACGAAGCCCTCTAGTTTTTGAAGTGCGTAATCGCACTTCAGAAACTAAAGTCTTTGATCTGAATGGCTACAGTCTCGAACTGAAGAGCTCGAACTACTCTTGGCACGATTGAGTGCTGAGAGTTAGGAGCTGGTCGCGATCTGTTAGGAAAACGACTTGAAATCTGTTAGGAGCTCGACCTGAACGAGCACGACTTGGGCTCGACTTAAGCACATAATGAGCACGACTTATGCACGACCTGAACGAGCACAACCTGGGCTCGACCTAAGCACATAATGAGCACGACCTGTGCTTGACTTGAATTAGCACAACATAGGCTCGACCTGAACGCATAACGAGCACGACCTGGGCTCGACTTGAGCACATAACGAGCACGACCTGGGTTCAACTTGAGCACATAACAAGCACGACCTGGGCTCGACTTGAACGAGCATGACCTAGGCTTGACCTGAGCACACAACCTGAATGAGCATGACCTGGGCTCGACCTGAGCACATAACGAGCACGACCTGAGAGGTCAAAACGAGCTCAAGGAACAAAATGACCTCCATCTGAGAGGTCTAAACGACCTCGACCTGAAAAGGTCATAACGATCTCGACCTGAAAAGGTCATAACGAGCTCGACCTGAGAGATCATAACGAGCTTTACCTAAGAGCACAAGAGATCAACGATCTCAGTGCGTGATCAACGATCTGAACATGTGATTTGAAGCTAAAGATCAGCGATCTGAAGCCGAGGATCAGGACGGCATGGGTGTACGATCTGCGATCTGGCCACGCGATCGGAGAACTTTGATGCGTGCGATCTGCGATCTAGCCACGCGATTGGAGAATTCTGATGCGCGATCGGAGAATTCTAACACGTGCGATCTGCGATCTGGCCACACAATCGGAGAACTCTGACTCATGCGATCTAGCCAACGGTGGAGAACTCTGATGCGTGCGATCTGGCCACGCGGTTGGAGAATTCTAGCGCAGGTTTGAGATCTGAGCACGCCATCAGGGAACTTGGACGCAAGTTTGAGAATCGGACCTGCATGGGCCACCAAACTGTTGACGCTTGATTTTGGACGTCAACGACTCGCACGTGGGAAACGCTGAGCTGACTCAGGAGACACACGTGAATGGATCCATGAGATTTGAATATGGAGCTGAGATTATATATGTTGTAGAAAACGTAAATAAAAGATTGACAAGAGGTGTTTTTATAGTGGTTCGGATGCAACAAGCGACTCCTACATCCACTGTTATTTTATTGATCACTCACTATTTCTATGAATTTGCCCGTAAGACATACAAAGATGAAAAAATACAGTGTTTTTTACAGAGAGAAAGAATTGAAGCTAAATCTCAGCCCAGCCCCCTTCTTCAGGAAGAGGAGTGCCCATTTATACACCTAAACACTCAATATAATGAGTGTTTTGCAAGTTGCCTTGACACATGGAAGGCTCTCGTCCATTCATCTCTTTGAAATGAGATAAAGTTGGTGAGAATATCTTTGGAGATATGGGCTTGGCAGCTGGTACAAAGAGACATTAATTGTGCTGACATAGGCGTGACTTTTGAGGCATAACAATATAGAACAACGTTCAGCTCCATTCTTATTTGTGTTTTATCCTTAATTTACAGAGTAAGCAACTTTTTCCCACCCAAGGTTTGCCTTACTGACATTGTCCACTCAAAAAGTTTCAAAATACCATTTTTTCACCCAAAATTAATATTCCATTACCACCCAAGGCCGATTCGAACCGATTCCGATGGCGAAAATTATCTCCGTCACCATTATTTAAATCTCCGGTCTCCTCTCTACAAAACACTTCACACTTTGACACCTGATTTCTCGCCGACTGTTGGCCACCGCAAAGTTAGAGTTTCCTGTTCTTAGCAGATTTTCGGCTAATTCCAATGGTGAATTTTCAACAAGTCATCATCATTCGATCCACCGGCCTCCACTCTATAAAACTTCTCTTACCTTGACTCGTAGTAACCCGTTGAACACCAATTGAGAAAGTGAAGTGTATTTTGGGTATTAACAAAGTATAAACTTTGGGCGGGAAAATGGTATTTTAAAACTTTTTGGGTGAGAAAGTGCCATTAAGGCAAACCTTGGGTGGGAAACAGTCGTTTACTCTAATTTATAATCTATAAACAGTAAGTAGTCAAAATTCTCTTTTTCTGAATGCAGAATTCTCTTTGCTTTATGAAATCCCATTCTATATTTTCTTTCATGAACTCCTCTTTGTGAATTCAAGATTCTCTATATCAGTAATTAAACCGATAATGTTAGGTTTAATACGATCTCATATTTATAAAAAATGAGAGTTAAGGCCGTTGTTTTACTGTATTTTTGGTCAACAATTAATGGATATATCTTCATCGGAGTAGAAAATAATAAATAATATAGCAATTCTTGCTGCAATGAGAACCTTCTTTCTGATAAATAAGTCAACAATTAGTGCCAAATATGTCCACATAACAGTTTGTTTTAATCTTGTCAATACGGTGATGAATTGAGACCCTGTCTCTATTGTAGAAAAGGTTAATCCATGTAGCAGAAACCAAGGGAAAGAAAAGCTACTGACGTTAGTAATCAAGACAATCAGGCATGGTTCAGGGAAAAGGACAAACTAATACAATTGAGTTACCACTGTCCTCACGTTAATTATACTACATTCCACATTTATTTGCAATGTTTTACTTATTGATTAAGAACATAAATAGATCACTATGCTTGCAAAATAATAAACGGTCCAGTATGATCATTAAACAAATCTACTAAAACAAAATACAACCTCTCATGTGTAAAAGACAGCCGATATAAAACTTCCAAATAGAGAAAGCAAAGGTCTCCAATGGAAGCCTTGCATTCCAAGTAAGCATCCTTAAAAGAGACAATAAATAAAAAAGAGTCAAGAAAATATACTCACAATCTGCGTCGCTTGTCAGAGGATTTCTGCCATATAATTTCTCGACCCATCTCTTGCAACAAATCATGCATTACTACCTTATTTTTTTTAATATTTATAAAATGTTTATTCACGAGGGCATTGATTCCCATTTCTGGTGAGAAATTATTACTGGCCTTCAGAGATCTTTTTCGAGATCAATGTCCACTCCATTCAGTAAGGATGAAATATCTAAAAATATCTTTTTCGCTTCATCTCCTAATCATTGTAACAGATTTTTAATACTTCCTTAAAATCTGTATTAGGAGTTCTCCCTAGTATATTCAATGTACTTTCCCAATCTTGTGGCCTCTTTCCAGATAGAAAGGAACCCAAAATTTTAAGAAAAAAGGGAGCACCCTTAGCATATACCATTATATTTTTTGACAACTCCAAATAACGTTCCCCGGGATTATGATCTCCAAAGGCATACGAATTAAAAAGCACAAGAGCTTCAGCATGCAATAAACCCTCAACCTTATATGCTTTTTCCACACTACATTCGTTCAGCACTTGTTCATATCTGGTTATTATAACGATTCGACTTCCTGGACCAAAACAACCAAGAGCTCCGATTAAAAATTCTACCTGTCCACCTTGTGTCACATTATCAAAAACCATGAGAACCTTCTTGTTTTCCTTCGTGGAGAAGAGTTCATTAGTCGGAGAGTTTCTGTCTACAAGTGTTATTGTTGACAGAATTTCTTCGCGCAGTGAAATTAGTCCATCACTACTCTCTGCTCGTTCCCCAACATTATCAATGAAGCAATACCTCTCAAACCCCTCATAGATTCTGTGGTAAATGAAACTAGCAATGGTCGACTTCCCTACACCAATGATGCCCCAAATTCCCAGCGTGAAAACGTCTTTCGATCCAATGGATAAGAGAGATTCAATTTTTTCTATATGTTTTGTCGCACCAACCAGTTCCTTTTCTTTAACAAGAGATAGATAATTGAGTTTTTCATAAATGTCATTGACAATCTGTTGTACAAGTACTGCTTCATGCCTGTCAAATACCAAGTATAAATAAGATACCTAAGTGAGGAAAGAGAACATAATTTTGATTCTAGCTAATAACTAATGTTGACGGAGATATTTCATTTTTGATAGTTCTTTGAGTTCACATAGAACATATATGTCGCTTACTTGATCTAAAATACAAAAGTGTGCAACATTTTTCAGGAGTAGGTGTTATCATTCATCAAAGAATGAATAACATTTTCCCACCCATAAACTTTGAATAAAAAAACATTTTCCTACTCATCGTTAAAATTCTTACAATAGTTTTAGAGTAATACTATATGTATAAACAAATCTTACAAAGATTTGTATACAAACTGATATGACATAAAATGAATAGAAGAGTGAATATGATAAGTTTGACTTTTTGTATTCACTTTTTCATTAATTTTGTGTCATATCAGTTTATATATAAATTTTTATAAGATTTATTTGTACCTCCAGTATTATTATTATTGACAGTTTTAATGGTAAAAGGGCATTCTCGTTAGTCCACACATATGTTATTATAGGGTCAATATCACTTAACTCCCTAAAATACAAATAGATGACAATTACCTTCACCAACTTGAAAATTAGCCATTTAAACCCCTATCTTAAATTTCTAAAATTACAATGGAAGTTTCACTTTTAAAGTATGTGTTTCTAAAAAAATTTAAAACTGTATATATATATTTTTTTTAAATTATAATAATATCTATCAATTAAATATTTGTAAAACTTCAAAACAATATTTCTTCAAAATTGTATATATTTTTAGAAATTATATAAAAATAAAATTTCGAAAAAACAAATGAAAAAAATGTAAAAAAGAAGAAAAATAAATTCATAAATTAAAGATTATGAAAATTAAAAAACTGAAAAAAGAAAGTGTTGGAATGGAATAAAATTATATATATAGACAAAAAAAATTCTTGAAAATATATTAGGCAAAATAACCAAATAATTTAAAATATTTCATAAAACATTTAGATTGAAATAGCATATTTTATACGTAACTAAATTTAGTACATTATTTCATTAAAAAGTTTTTTAAAAAATTATAAACTTCAAAACTATCAATGCTGATCAAAGTCGTCGGACAGAAAAGTTCTTTCACTTTTTCGGCGTCACTGTGGGCGAGTAAAGAGTCTTTGACCACCAATCTGACAATCTAGATGGACTTTGGCTGTCAAAGACCGACGTATTAACATCACATGCGATGGTCGTATCTTTTGTCACCGCACTTAACTTTAATATGCCGGTCTTTGACGACCGATGTTTGTCCAGATTAAAAAAAAAAAAATTTACTATTGTTGCTTTGCTAAAAACTGTATTATAAACTAATAGAGTGTACTATATGGAGTTAAAAAGAGTTACCGAACGACACATGAATTCCAGCCAGATATGTTTGCTATTTCTGACAAAGCTGTCTTCCATCTCTCTAACTTCTCCTTGAAATGATTTTCAAGCTCTGCAAATGCTTTCCCAACACAACCAGCTTGCCACCTCACTTCGCTCGGTTCTACACCATAGAAAACCGGTATTACAATCTGTCCACGCTTTTTCTTGTTTATAATTATCACTTCAAGTTCTTGAAGGCACCATCTGGAAGAGGCATAATTTTCGGAGAAAACAATAACCGATATCGCTGATTGCTCAATAGCTTTCAATAGATTTGATGAAATCTCAGTTCCTCTGGTAATTGTGTCGTCAGCCATAAAAGTTGTAATATTTTTCCTTTGTAAAGCTGCATAGAGATGACTTGTAAAAGTTTTGCGAGTGTCTTCACCCCTATAACTAAGAAAAACATCATAGGCAAACCCAGAAGAGGAGGAAGAAGCCATCAACAATTCACTTTTTTCACACCAGAAGAAGATATGACACTTGGGATGATAAGACAAAACAAGTATATTGCAGGCTTTTCATAGAAGATGATGATACTAGTAACTAATGGGCTATTAAATATAGGGATGAAAATATCACTTTCAAAATAGATTAAAGATCTAACCGGTCGTGTGTCATTAAGACCGTTTTCGGTTGAAAATAGCCAGATTTGACTATTTCACAACTAAAGATATGGCCGTGAAATGGTAATAGATTTGGCCTTTCCATGACGAAAGATGTGCCCGTGAAATGTCGATCATTTCACGGTTGTCAGATCTGGTTTTTTCACAACCAGATTTGTGACTATCTCACATCCGACCATGAATCACAAATCAATGGCTGGAAATAGCCTTATCGACGCACGACTGGCCAAAAACAGCTTTATCAACTCACGATTGGCCAAATCCAATACCCGTGTGCCGTTCCAATGACTGCTGGTAGGCCTTGGCTAGTTTATAATAATTTTAAATTATTTATGATTAAGAAATAATTTGGTTTTAAAACTATATTTATTAAAAATTCTATTTATTACACTTATTATTTTAATTTTCATAATTCATTATTTTTCAATATTTTTAGTTTTGACTGTTTAGTTTTTAACTTTTTTCAGTTTTTATCGTTATCTTTTTCTTTTTTATTTATTATAGTTATCTTATCTTAAAAAGAATTTTTTGCAAATATTAAGTAATAAGAAAAAGACAAAGGCTCCGTTTCACTCAATCTCATTACTTAGAAGTCTATTTTCCTCGAAATTTCTACATCTACAATCTATCTATATAAGAACCAATATGGTTACCATCATCCAACAAGAATATGTCTATATCACTCCTTACTAATTTGCCCTTTATATTTGTATCTTTGCTAAGTTTCAACGATGTGAAGTTTTTATTACTTCTTTTATTTAAGGCGTTGTACGACTGGAATTGGAGTCAGCTAGCTGTGAACACCTGGTAAAGATTCCACTAATCTACCGATGTTAAATACTTCAAAGTTGGTATGTTGTTTACAAATATAAAATGCCAATCCATTGTTGAATCTGAATTAACTTCTCTTTAAATCTACTTAAAAGAAAGAATGTTAGGCTTTCAATTTTATAATTACATTATGGTCCTACATTTTTATAATGTTAGACTTTTAATTTTATAATTACATTATGGTCCTACATTTTTATTTAAGGCGTTGTACGACTGGAATTGGAGTCAGCTAGCTGTTGAATACTTCAAAGTTGGTATGTTGTTTACAAATATAAAATGTCAATCCATTGTTGAATCTGAATTAACTTCTCATTAAATCTACTTAAAGAAAAAATATTAGACTTTTAATTATATAATTATTTATGGTCCTACACTTTTAATATAATTACATTATGGTCCTACATTTTTATGCTGATGTGGATTATAATAAAAGAAATACATACGGTTGTTTCTCTTGGGCAGTTGTCTTTGATGAAAAGATAACTGCATTTATAAAAGAAACCTTATAGGTCCCCATTTGATGTAATTTTCATTTTTGATTCCAAAAATCATCGCTCTAAAATTACAGTCAGTGGAAGACTCTGTATTCTGAAGAAGCAAGAAGACTAAACAATAATTGCTATGGCTGAAGGTTTGTAAATTACTTCCGCATATATATATTCCGTGAGTATTTAGATGTTTATAATTGATTGTATTATAAACTTTTGTATGAATATTAAAATAGAAATGTATTTACATTTGGTATCTACTATCTACGCATTGGTTGAATCTCTATTCTTAATCTTCCATGACCCATAAAGAAAGTGAAAGCGGAAGACAAAACAAAGGCTTTGGAAGCAGGAGTTGGTGCTAAAGTACGCGAAGGGGACACACTACCACCTTCCATCATCCCCTCATTTTCTTCCACGCCTACTCTTTATTGTCTTCTTGTCCGTTTCTTTCTTTTTCCACTAAAAACACTGACTTTTCTTTCGGTTTCACAGGGAATTGATTGGGTGAGCTCTCAAAAGAAAAAAAATGTTTGATTGAGCTTTATGTAATGGTACTGTGTGTGAAGTGAGCAAGACTGACTTTTCTTTTGGTGCGTTTTGCTTGTATCGTTCTAGGGATTTTGTTTTATTATTATTATTTTTTTTTTAAATATGGGTACACCCGTTCCACCCAATGACAAAACAGTCTGGGTTAGGTGCGGGTTCAATTTCCACAGATCCATAAGGCTTGACTTATACCTTATGAGTCTGTTTGTTTAATTATTTTTTCCTATTCTATTAATATTATTTTTAAAATATACATTTATTTTCTTATTTTGAAGATACTATTATATTTTATTCAACTATTTTAAACGCTCTAAATTTATTAATTTAACTAAACATCCCAAAAAAGTTTAGAAATTGATAAAAACACCCTATCCATCAATATTTACCAGATTTCAGCAACTACTGTCGGAAGATTACCAGAATCTGGTATAATGGTATATTATCAACTGGATTTGGCTGGTAGATGTATCATTTATCGGCCAGATTCACCGTGGATCTTGTTAGAAAAACTAAATCTACAGCCAAAGGTCTGGTCGTTGACGACCATAGCTGGTCTTCAACAACAGCCAAGACATGGCCGTCGTTGACCATTAATGATAGCCAATTAGCCATATCTTTGGCCATCGTTGACAACCAAACACGACCAGATCGGGCCATAGATCTGGCCTTTTTCGACTAGATCCATGGTAGATCTGGCTAGAAAAAGTCATCTCACCACACGACTTGTCAGATCCAGCCGGTCGTACACCGCAACGCCAGATTCCAGCGGTGGTGGTTGGAATCTGACAACTGTGTGTAATGGGGGTGTTTTTGTCATTTTACAAAAATTTTATATATTGAAGTGTTTAGTTAAATTAGCAAACATTAGAGGTTTTTTTGTTAATTTTTAAATTCTACCTCATAATAATCACCAAATTCTACCTACCAATAATATTTAAAAAAAACTACCCAAAATAATAAAACAAACACACCCTATATTATTTACCTGCGTATGGGTTGACCCACGGTCCGATCCAAAAGGAATCAATGACTTGTTTTATTGTTTGGTTCCAAGCTTTAAAGATATTTATGCTAATTCAATTTAGAGAGCTTTGTGGATCTCTGCATTTCCAAAGAAAGGATAAAGAAATTGGATTCTATTGAGAACATGAAAATTATTCAACTCCTGAAATGCCGGAAAGGTTGGGAAAAATATTGAAAGAAAAGTTTAGTGGATTTGGTATCAGTTTTATTTACGCTAGAAAAAGGATGCAATAATTAAATGAAGTTTATGTATTTGTTTTAGGATGTTAAAATTAAGGAATAATAATAATCATATGAAACTTGAGAATATTGATTTGATCAAATTAATGATTCGTTTTAATAATTCTTCAGAAGAATCAATTGTCAAACTATGAAACTTTTTGGATGAACGATATATACTATGATAAACCCTAAAGGATTGGTTTGACAATGAAGAAAGTTTGCTTCTTTCATTGACTTCTTGGGTTCGAGCCTTGGGGCCACTTATTACATTTGTGGCTTACTTTGCAACATTGGATTTGAGTCTTGAGGCCTAGTCAAGGTGTGCACAAGTTGGTCTAAAAATACCCGGTCATTAAAAAAAAAAAAAAGATATATACTATGATATAGAAATTCAAATCATCAAATGGAATGTCCCCCATTAATTTACCTCATTTTCATATTGCAACTACCCTTTGAAGCTTCCATGTTTAAGTAGGGAGTGCATAATATTTATTTCAATTGACAAATTTTAGTTACATACAATACTATTATATTAATAATAACCTCATTAGTAGACTTACGTGGTATTTGTTTTGTTGTCTAAAAGTTGAATGCATCTATTAACTAAATATGTATGAATATATAAGTCTGATCGAGATATTTATTTTTTATATTTCAATGTTTGATTATAAGTATTAAATTGTTTGTTTCTATACGGTGTAAACATCGTAAAACTAGTGTTTCGACGTATATATTTTTATTAAGTATAATTTAGTTATATACTATTTTCCATCTTTTAAACAAAATTTTAATTGATCAAATTTATGAAAATTAAAAAAAAAAATGTATATAAACTAAAGATTTACAATATATTTTTTGATGTAATATTTAAAAATTTATTATTAAAAAGTTAAAATAATACAAAAAATACATAATGCATAAGGGTTTTTGTCAAAATTTGAATTATATAAAATTAATAGGGGTATTGTTAACAAAATAAATATTTTTATTGGTTAGATGGTTTTGTATTAAAATAAAAGCAAAATATTTTAAGTTTTTACTGAAATCTGATAAACAAACATAAGCTTCAAAAAAAAAAAAAAAACCTAAGAAAATTTAATCTATTAAAATTAGTTACATTTAGACTTAAGATAAAAAAAAACAAACATATCTTTAAAATTATGAATATTATTTATGTTGTGTGATAAATCCAATAAGCATGAATTCCCACCACGTGTCCCAAGGATCTATTATTATTCCATGGTTAGATTTATCTCATGTGTCAGCCTGCCTTAAGCTAATCCTGTTTACAAGTTAAATACTATTTTCAAGTTAGACATTGTCGACAACTGAAAAACCAACAAGTTAAGACTTCACTTACAAGTGTGCTATTGTGACAACTTATATAAATTGATATTTTACCTAAACAAGAGTACATCTCTTTCTTTTTCTCATCCATGTAAGTTGCCCGAGTAGAGAGACCTTTTTTTTCTTTCCTACACATATCTCATTGAGAGAAGAGAGTTCATCTTTGTTAATCATATTCTCCTTCGTAATCTGTCTAAGTGTAAAAAAAAATACAAAGCAATAATATATTAGTGGACTTAGACTTGATTCTAACTTGTCGAACAATTTTAAAACCGTTTTTTGTCATTCCATTATCGTTTTCTAATTTGTTTGTAGTTGGTTATTTTAAATCACGTACACATCTTATCCAATCCTACC